AGTTTCAGCAAAGAGTATGCGGCGGCCGTCGAGTCCAAGCAAGTGGCCCAACAGGAGGCCCAGAGGGCGGCCTTCACTGTGGAGCAGGCGAAGCAGGAAAGGCAGCAGAAGATCGTTCAGGCGGAGGGAGAAGCGGAGGCCGCGAAAATGATATCCTTTTCCACCACAATATCCACTTTTTATTGCTTTTGTTTCGGTTGTTTCGCCAAACGATGAGTTCTGTGGCAAAGCTTTCGATCGATTGGTTTATCCACCGATTCATTGATGGCTTTTGCGATGATTTAGAGTCCGGTAATCTTAGTGTTGAGATAGTGTTCATCCCGTTATGAACACTCACTTCGAGACTATCGTTCAATACTGTAAGGGCTGGACTATAGCAACGGTGGCTTTATTTAGTTATTTGCCTGATTCTCGAGATAATCGAGTCATGCATTTAAATAAATCCATACATTCACCAAAAACACCTGAAAATGATTATTGAATTCTTTAGTAATCTGATGGCGAAAACGATTTCATTACAGAGTTTTCAAATGATTTTATATAATATTTGAATAGTATTTTCCTTAACCTGTATAATATGATTGAATTGAATACTTAGGCGATGCTATACTCAAAAACCCGGGTTATCTAAAGCTAAGAAAAATCAGAGCCGCCCAACAAGTGGCAAAAACGGTCAGTAATTGTTCACATTTTAATCATTCATTTCACGGTAATTGTCATTTCAATTACCGGTAGTTTTAAAACAGAATAATATGTTGTAATGATAATCGTTTTAAAATTGATTGTAATTCATATTGAATATTGTGTTGATGTGGTGCACAGATCGCTACCTCCCAGAATCGTGTTTACCTGAACGCCAGTTCCCTTATGTTGAATATCGCCGACAAAGACTTTGATGTGACGAACGAAGCCATACAAAAGGGACGCAAATAATATTGCAATTCAAGTCATTTATGAAATGATTATTAGATTTAAAAACATTATTCAATGAATCAATTAATTCTTTATTAGGAGAAATTCTGTGAATTTATATCTTATCCTTTGGAGGCTTACCTTTTTTGTTACCGTATTTTGCAAATAAATCATTTAATCTCCAAATTATATACCATTTAGTTTTATTAGAAATGATGACAGTTTATAATAACATTTGAAGATTATTTAAATTTTTTAAATAAAGTTTGAATTTTCGTATAATTTGTGTTTCATTTATTTTCAATTACCTTTAAATTATAATTAAAGTGATTTCATTGTAATTTTTTTGTTTTTATGTATATTTTAAATTGGTTTTTAAAAATTCAATTTAAAACAACAAAAGTATGACTAATAAATACAATACAAGTGTTTATTTTTAGTTTTTTCCATTAATTTTTCATAAGAAATGATTAAATGTAAAAACACAAGAAAGAGTTGACATTCAAGTAATGCAAACAATAGGTGTGACCCAAACCCCAAAAGCTCATTTCAGTTTGCATTCTCTATGAGTAGATAATATTATTCTTGATTTTTTTTATTCATTCGCCCATTAATTATAAGACTCATACGTGTGTGCCGTCAGCCCAGGGCTTTAGATATGAATTTGCGAATTAAATATTCAATACTATATTGTTTAATGACTTATACAGTATATATATTTTGATCAGAGTGCAATAGTCTTCAAATTATCTGATTATATCAACTCTTGTAAGGAGTCATCTGTTTTTTGTCTGTCAGCACAGCCCTCATAAGTTTTAACATCTAAAGCCCACATCATTTTCTATATTCAACACTTAATTAGAAATTTAAATAATCTCTTATTAATTAAGCTAGGAATAAAATCATGATTTTAGACAAAAGCATTGAAATTCATAATTAGGAAAAAGAGTATAAAATATATTTATGTAAAATTCATTAACAAATTAAATAGAAATACTTTTAGTAACAATAATGCAATGACAGGTGAGATTCAAAAAAATATAATAGTTGACGTGAAAGCACTTATACCATAATTGCCCTCAATTTCACTACACTTATTGTATGGTATTAACCTTTATTATCTAAATTTGATTGGTACGACTACAATATATTTTGTATTATTTTTGTTTCAAATTAGTCACATAACAAAAGCTTTCGATGAAAATGCTTACACGTTTTTACAATTTGCTGGGCTTTTTAAATAAATTAATCAGAAATATGTGTTTGTAAGTGGAAAGGACTTATTTGTGAACATAAATTTCAAAAATGTTAATTAAGGCACACAGTTATGGACCAGAATTTTGATGAACTTTTCAATTATCACTAATAGAGTACATGTATTCAAATGCCAGCAATAAATGAGATGCTATTTTCAATGTTATGGCCAAAAGTTTGACTATTTTATTTTATTTCATCAATTTATTGATGTCTGCATAGAGATTAGCTTTTATTTATTTTTTTGCTACGAATAATATTTGAATGAAATCCAATATTTCATCCAAAAATCCTAATCAAAACACTTCTGTAATAATATGCGAAACAAATTTATAGCCAAAGATCAGACGTCAGAATATCCATAAAAGGCTCAAAATAGTCGCCAACTCTTAATCAACGTCTGATGGGATTCATAGTTAATGATAATGTGTTGAGAGTTGGTATTCAATTTGTTTTTATAGTCTTATGTCATGAAAACAACATATTATTATTCCTCAATTCGTTACTACAGTAGTAATTAATCAGAATATGTATCAAAAGCCTATAACTTTTGTATTATTTTCGGAATATTTATAGAAATATCTGTGACTTATGTCCGCAGATGTATTCATTTCAATGTCAAACTTAAATCAATGCCAATCAATGCTCAGTCGCTTACAGAATACAAAGTATATTGGATAGCAAATGGAAAATACTTTTAGTTCTAGTTTTATTTTATTAATATATCAATATTTGTACACAATTTTGCGATGTTTTATATAAAACATGAGACAATAGTTACACAAATGATGGCTTTGATAGCAAAACACAATTTAAAATAATTGTTGACTAAAACTTAATGATCGTTTTACATAATACTATCTTTAATGTAGAATTGTTGATGAATTTTTAAAAAACAATGACAAATTCAAAAACAATATACAGAATATATTAACGGTAGTTATACAGTATATAGAATTAAATACCTATTAAATAAATGATAAATCATTCTTTCAAAATTATTTATAAATTAAATTAGGAATCAAATGGTCTGAATATCCCGATAAATGAATTTGTGCTAAAATTCTTAAGATTCAGTTGAAGTAGATATTGTAGAACTGGTTAATGAGGTGCTGGCAGTCATATCGAGACGAGTGGTCAGCATGTCTTCGAGGTTAGGGCAGTCGAGAACAGCGGCGCCGACACTACTCCTCCTTAACATCATTGACATAACTAATGACCATTTGTTAGTCAACGGGTCGTACGTCTCGACTGTATTCAGGCTACTGCTGCCGTCATTGCCTCCGATGGCGTACAGCAGACCTTCGGCTTCAGTCACTTCATGTGTACTCCTATTATGAAATATGTGTTAAATATAGAAATCAATCGATAAAATCGATGCGAAGTCTATTATGAGGGCACTTACCTTCTGGAGTGCATCGACGGCACGGTTTCCCACGCATTCCTCAACGGATCAAATCTTTCTGCACTACACATACACAGAGAGCCGTCATTACCGCCGACGACGTACAGCATTCTGTCGAGCGCTGCCACACCACAGCTGCTCCGACGGCTTATCATCGATGGCATGGCCTGCCATTTGCCCTCCTATTACACCCATTCATTAGTAATGTATATCGCAATCTCTCACATAATTAATTGTATAATGACTTACTCGGGGATCAAACCTTTCAACGGATGATTGATAATTAGAGCCGTCATAACCGCCCACTAAAGCAAACACAATACATGTCAATTCATCTATACTTTACTGAAAGTCAACTGAAGTCAGACCTGCATAGAGACAGCCGTCGAGCACTGATAGCCTACAATATCTTCTTCTTGTTTCCATGGCCTGCACTGAAGACCATTCGGCCACTAATGGGTCGTATCGCTCGACACTATTCAGACACGAAGCACCTAAATATAAACAACAATTGCATTATTATCTCATATCTCCAGACTTATTGCAAGACATACCGTCATAACCTCCGGCGACATATATGAGTCCATTAAGTGCTGCCACTCCTAAACAACTTCTTTTAGTGCCCATATGTTTAATATTAGTCCACTTATTCATCATCGGGTCATAAAACTCGGCTGAAGACAAATCTTTGGTTCCATTATAGCCGCCGATTGCAAACACCAATCGGTTGAGCGGAACGACACCGGCTCTGGACCTCCTTTGTGTGGTCGGCGCCAAAGAGCCCCATCGGTCTAGTCTTGGGTTATAGTATTCGCACTCATTATGGATCGCAAACAGAGATCCACCGCCGATGGCGAAGATATACGGTTTGAGTCCGTCGGGAGTTCGCTGTTGCGTCCGCACCGACAGCATCGCCCGCCTGTGCTCTGGGCTTAAGTGATAAATCATGGCCTCTATAAGTAGGTCTTTCCCCGATTGGTTAGACTTAATGAGCGGGTCGTTGGAGACCTCATTCAAAAGGAATGTGCGTTCCATCAGAGGAAGCCTCACGTGTTGCAGAAGAGGTCCCAAATGCTGTTCCCTTTGCTTGAGGTCGTGCTTCACCCACGACATGACGGCGCTGTACACGTTCTCCTCATTCGTGATATTCAGCTGATTGCTGGCGATTAGGTTTTCCACTTCAGTGAACGGCAGGAGTAGGAACTCCTCTGTGAGCGCCACTTCTTGGAAGTTCTCGAGAGCGTACTTATGGGATGTGGTCTGCAATTCCTCGCAGCAGTGGGTGTCTGCGAAACTCCTGATACCCAGACAGTTGGATGGGTGCAGTTGTCTCAACAAAAACTTACAACAGGCCTCCCGTACGGAGGAGACCTGGAGCAGACTGGCCGCTGGCAGTAGGGACTGTACGTTCTCTTCGGTGATACAGATCTGTCCCGTATAGGCGTAATCGACTAGAAGGTTGAGGGCTGACATGTCTAAGTCATGGAGGGTTATCACAGCTTTGTTACGCTCTGCCATTTCACCTGAGATTCGCATTCAAAGTAATACATTGTGTCACTATTATGTAACATCTTTTTTATGAAAACATTTGTTCAACTTTTCTAAACACTAATGAATAGAAGTTTTTACAAAACATAATATTTATATAAAACTTATATAACTTGTCGTCTACTCCCAAATATTATTCATAATATCTGCGCTAAAGTCGTTCACATTTTAATTAACCTGAAATTGTTAACCATATTTCATATCTACAGTACTTAAATTATTATTGTAGATTATATTTATGTCTAATTTAATGCCACTTATTCTACAAATCATTTAATCAAGAATTACTCATTTGTTAAGAATTGAAATGAAAACTTAAAAATAAGTTTCAAAATGAATTAAATTATAAAAATTAATTAAAATCAAATACATTTATGTCTAAGTCTAACGAAGCACTAAATTAATTCTATAATTAGGGTTTGGATGAGTTTTCCATCAAAAGCTATATTATTATTATTATTTAACAGTTAAGTCCAAAAACAAAACAAAACTATTTTTCTCCTCATTTATCGCATGAGAGGATTGCAATTGGGGTTCAATTATCGCAAGACAAGTGCAATGCAAAAGAGGTCCTCTTATCAGATCCACTAATCTTAATATAGTAAACAATCTTTTTTGTATTCACTTACTATTAAACATAGCGTTGAAGTAAGCGCTGGCAGCCGCCAGGACTACTTTATGGGCCCGCAATTGGCGCACATTAGCTGCCGGTGCACATCCTAACGGCAACGTCGATGTAATGGTCGGTGGTGTGTGGGCTGGAGTGGCGCTATTGTCCAGCACTTCCAGACTAATGTCACACAATTGATTGCTTTGTCGCATCACATTCATGGCTGAGAAGGCAGATCCCAAGTGATCGGAGTTCACGTAATGCACTTGAGGTAGACGTACGCCATCGTTGGTCGGCGGGAGAGTCTTCATGAACTCGACCGACCCGTCCATCTTCTCTCGCGATTTACTGTATAATTAAAGCACAAAAACCTAAAATCAATACTTTATTTGCATTTTAATTACAGTAATTAATGCGCGAAAATAGAGAGACTATAATTAGAGCCCAATAGCGGAGTCCAAAACCCAAAACAAAGTTATTAAACAAAAAGAATTATAATAATAGAAATCCAGAAAAAGTTAGATTTTAAGTGTATTAAAAATTCAGTGAAGCAAAAACTCTCGAAAAAATCGTTTGTATTGAAAATAATCACTAAAGTATTACAGAGTAACACTAATGGTCAGCATTATAGCCAAACATAATCCAAAACTTTTTGTGTCGATCGTCTCATCAAATAATTAACACATTAAATGGGAAGTAAATAAATTTCATTATTCGTGTCCACAATGGCATTCATCGGTGTCGGGGTCAGTAGTCGCGAGTTTTTTTCAATGAGATTCAGCGCTGATTCCGGCATAACATTGACGCGAATGGAGAGAAAAAACAAGTGAAGAGAAGTTTTGTTTGGTTGCGAAGAACCGCTCAGTAGTGAGTGATTGGTGTATAACTGGCACTGAAACACACTTTTCTCTCGCTATCCCCTATTCTGTGAGTTTGTGTCTCTGAAAAACTAGTCGACAATTCAGGGCTTACCATATGTGCCACAACCATACGATGAGATTGCGTTCACAAAATTAATTCTTACGTTCACTTTAGACAACTTTTCCAAAACTTAAATACAAGAAATAGCGCGCAAACAGTGATATCAAACACACACCGCTCTGTCTAAACGTAAATTCAATTATCGATTTATTAATTTATTTTTTATATATCAATAAATATTAATATTCGTGTATTTTGTTTCCAAAATTCAATCTCAATATTGGAAACAACTTTTAATCATTGGTTTCAGTCAATAAGAAAAAGTAATTAAATATTGATCAAATACGATATGTCTTTCATGGAATCGGTCTCACAATCATATAATCATATGTTAGGCAACTGTAGGACTAAGTTGTTGGCAGTTCTGCCGCTAATTCATAGCAACAGCTCTTCAAACGCCAAACACGTTATGAATAGAGTTTTGATCGAAGAATAATGTGTTTTCATATGAACTACCTTTCCATTCATGTCATATATGCAAACACATCGCATGGACTGCCAGTGCCTTCGATCGCATGCAGAATCTTCTCGGTTTCCAACGGCACTCATACACAACACAAACACACAGAGAGTGTGACTATGAGTGCCAATCGCACTAACGGTGCTCTAAACTAAAGTTTGGGCGCAGGCATCAGCGGTAGACATAACGTTGCTATGATTGCCGTACAATCGCACAGACATTACAGCGAGAGAAGTGAGAGCCAACACACACATAGAGAATATCCATTAAAATTCTATATAACTGCGAGAAATTCTGCACAACTTTTATACACTTTAATAATAATACATATCCAGAAGGGGTGAATGGCCTCATATCTCAGGCACTGCCAGTGTATGTGTTTGAGAGACAGAAAGCATAGGCCTTTAGAGAGACAGTGTTTTCGGAGATGTAATCATCGCATACATACACACATAGGAAGACAGAGTGTTAAACAACGCGGAACCGCTTTTTGCACCGCTTTATCAAAACATTTTGCATAAAACTATTATATTATTTAAACAAAAATTTCTGCATTCGCCACTTCTCAGTCAATAATTACATTAAACATAACACAAACACATCACTCAATACATATCACATACAGACACACTCTTCTCGATAGGCTCTCCAACACGTCTACAAAGTTATCATTCAATTCGTGAACAATTTCCTACATTTGTCTGGAATTACTATTATATTCATGTAATGCAAAGGCGATAGAGCGTCGGTAGTTCACCCGTACGGCTCAGTCTTCATTAGAATCACTTTCAATATGTATAGACTCTATACTATAGAGAAATCTCTCATGAATTTTATTTTCTTCTTTATTTCTGCACAAAGTCTACAGAATTGAGTGAAATAAATGCTCAAATGCTTAATGGTTTGACGGTTTGTTTATTTGGCTTTCGCTTAAAAACTTTACTGTATTTGACATAAAAGTGGCGTATCTTTCATCACAATTGCCAGTAAAGTGTCATTTATTTGACTACCAGTGCCCTAACGTTAGCGCTGATGAACACTGGTATACAGAATCTACTGATCATTGTTGTCAACTGAATAGACACTGAAAATTATGATTACAAATATTATAAGTTATTATCATTATTGTCATTATTTGACGCAATGAAACACAGCTATTATTTACCAAAAATAATAGTGCCGTAGAAAAGAGTAATTTATAATAACATCGACTATTCATTAGTAAATGAAACTTTATATTAACTGTAAAGCACTCGACTATTAATATATTTAGCTTGCAATTAACTAAACGGAGTTACGCTAACAAAATGCATTTGCTAAATGGGCAAACGTTTAGAAAAATAAATATTATTATTTATTATCCGTAAAAAATAATAAAACATATGTGAATAGAGTACTGTAGACATACCATAGGAGCTCATTATTGGTGTGGTTGTGGAGACGACGTCTACTCCGATAATTAAAGGCCAGAAGTGTGGGCAGAGACACGACACTGACCTCCCGGTAGGCACTGGGATATAGTGTCGTATTCGTCGACTGATTACTTGATGACACGGTTGTCGTCAAAGGCATCGCGTATTTCGATAACTTCTCAATGAATTTGCTATTATTGCCGTTGGATTGCATTTACTGCAAGTGTTTCCCAAATATATTGCAATCAATTGATATAAGTTTTAATCACTTCCTGAGCCCAATAAATGCATTCATATTTAATATCTATAATTACTAAAACAAATGCTAAAATGGCATCGTTTGAAACAATAATAAACTCCGCGAATACTATAAAACAATTAAATTGAATAGAAAAACAAAACGAAAAGCGATTAAAACTTTTATTATAATAGACTTAAAAATTTTAATCCAATGTTTGTAAAACAAATTTGTGTGATTTTTCCTTTAAAAACAAATTGCTTTTCGATCGTAAAAGTTAAACACTAAATAAGACACGAAATGTGAGAGTATTTTCGTTTGTGAATTGCTTTTATAAACCCGTTATTTAGCCTAATATCTAATGACTTAATGGCATAAATTCTTGTAAAAGTTTTTATTTTATTCAATGGACTCGACTATACTCGAGGCAACTTCGAGGTTGGAATACAAACTAAACACACTTTAAGCTTAAGTTTGTGTAATACCAGTGCTCTTTCACTTTTCCTAACTTTTTTTGACTCCAATAGCTATCGTATATAATTTCACTCATTTTTCCTGTCCTTCAATCCTTTTTTCTTATTTCTACTCAAAAAGTTATTATTTAAATAGTAATCAAATAATCAAACAATTAATTGTAAAAATAAAATATTAGCTCATGAAAATTAATTTAATTAAAAATCTTTTATATTTTTACAAGCAATATATGTATACGAAAATATCCTACTCATAAACTCGTATCTATTTAACTAACTAAGCAAATAAAATAACATTTCATTTAAATACAATAATTTTATTTTAGCGTTTATCTGCGAAACGTATAAAAGGTTATCATTATATTAATATAATATGATATTTATTGTTATTATTTTTGAAACTCAAATTAAAATAATGATTATTAGCATATTTACATAACTTTATGAATGTCATGAAATTAAAGTACAGAAATATGCTTAATTTATACCACTATTTGAATAGATTGTTGTCGGAATAAATACATGATTCATATAATGTATAACTAATTTCATATACCGTATACTTGACCTCAATTAATGACATTTTATTGTTAACCAAAAACCAATAAAATAAGAAACCAAACGACAAATTTAAGCACATTTTTACGCTATATTTCCTTCGATTATATAAACTGTGACCAACTTTTGACATCCAATTGCCTTATATTTGATAACAACAACCAGTTTACCTGTACTAACGCAGGGCTTTATAATTGACAATAATCTTGCGAGATAATCGACGGTTACATTGAAAACTTGAAAATGTTTATAATTAGTGTATAATTTATTTTCTAAGTATACAGTAAATAAAGCGTTGAGATTATAATTTAATTCAATTACAAACACCTCTCATATCGTCATCACTGGAGTTCAGAAGTCACGGCTTTATGGAAAGAAAAATGCATTTTTAATTTATTTTCTAAGTATACAGTAAATAAAGCGTTGAGATTATAATTTAATTCAATTACAAACACCTCTCATATCGTCATCACTGGAGTTCAGAAGTCACGGCTTTATGGAAAGAAAAATGCATTTTAAATATTTTTAATTAAATAACAATAAAATGAAATGTAAAAGAAAACTGTTAGCAAATGAATTGAAAACTTATTCAAAAGGTACCGGTTTACTATCGGGCTGCCTATCAATGATCTCAAAAAATGTTATGTAATTTTGATTTCAATTAGCAATTTTTCGTTAATTTGAAAGTTTTGCGAGCAATTAAGTGCTTATAAATATTGAAGTTATTAATTATTTAAACGCCATTTAAAGCTACTTATAATTTATTAGAAATTATTGTTTATTTTGTGATAAGTTTTTGTTTTCCACAAATAAATTGTATGCAAATGAGGAACAATTGAACTCATATTAAGGTTAATAGATTTCTATCTATCTCTACATAATCTATATATAGATTTTATTTTTAATAAATTTCAAAGTATATTTTAAGTAATTAATTACTTTAAAAATACTTAAAATGATTTATTATATTAAATCTATTATTATAGACATAAATATTACAAATAATAAACAAATAAAACTACACAAACTGAATGATACTGTATGTTAATGTTATGTCTGGGAGAAGTTATAAACACCATTATATAAAAGTTTATATTACAAACTAATAAAAGTCTCGATTATATGATTTTATTATTTGAATATCTAACAAATATTAAATATACAGGAATATTTTATGGTAAAATGAAACCAATAATTATTCGCCAATTTTATATTAAAACAACTCATTATCTATTCAATCATTAAAAGCAAAATCAAATCAGAAATGTATTTTAGAAATAATTAGAGTTTATTATTATAACCATAAGAAAAATAATACCCATAAGAGGTACTACAAAACGGGCAAAAATGCAATCATTAAAAAACCCAAAATTTCAAAAAGTACTTAAACTGTAAGGTTTGGGGCAAAAGGTTGTTACGGATGTCGAGTCCATACATATTATGTCAATAAATTGGGAAATAAAGTTAAATAAAATTTAATGAAAAGCTATTTCTTTTACATTATATGACTCCCAAAACATAATAAATGCTTCAAATGATAAAATTAATAACAATTTTATTGTTTAAGACCTCAACTAAAAAAAGAAATTAAATGAGAGCATAAAAACACAA